AGTGATGCAAGGAGTGGCGAAGATGAAGAGGGGTTATTGAACAAGGGTCTATTTGCGATCCGACGAGGTGGCCAGGAAATCTCGGCACGGTAAGTCTCATCCAATGCTTAGCGAGAACTTCGCTGATTCAACGCATGGTTCTGTTTACAGATTGAATAGCCTTCCTAGTCTTCCTGGTGGAAATCGCAAGAAACAAAGTGTCGATCTCTCAAGCTCACACACTTTATTCCCTCCTTCGATTTCCTCTGCTCGTGTATCCCCTGATATTGGTGGTCCAAGGCGCCTATATAGTGATGGACATACTTCGTGAGTCCATCTTCACAATTGTTATGATGATTTATTCTAAATATCATCAATTTATATGTCTAGACCATTCATTCCAGAGGAACGAGCGCTAAGTGCAGACGAAGGCACGAGGAAGCATCAAAGGCCACTCCTCTCCAGCTTTAGTATGCACTCTGCCCTCACGACTCCCAACTTTAGCATGTCGTTTACAACGACTCCACCCAGCATGACACCACCAAGATTCAAGACAAAGAGTTTGGATCTGCCACCTAGTCGTCCTACAACTTCGAGGAGGCCATCTGCTCAACGGACGATTCCGCCGACTACAGCACCACTGGAAGTTAATTCGGACGATGAAGGAGTGCCCCGACGTCTCCAGAGAAACCGTTTCCACCCCCGAAACCTCTCCAAGAACGGTCGTGATTCTGTCTATTTACACAATCACATTGAGAGGTAAGAGGATTTCCAGTGGCTAGTATATAGATGCTAAATATAGCTTTCTGTAGGAGGTTGAGCATGAGCGACCTGTCGGATTGGCGAGATGTTCCTTGTCTTAATTCCGAGCAGATGAAAATTGATGTTCATTATGTGAGCTCCCTTGCTGAATTGAGTAGGCGGAAACGCCGTTTGCAACTAGCTGCAGATTCAGTAAAGGTCGGTCTCATCCTCACCTTTCCATTTTAATACTAAAACTATCTTGACTCGTTCAGGAACTCATGGGCTCGCTCGTCCTCGTGGAAGAAATCTTGCGTCATGGACAAGAGAGGCAAAAATTGGCACGAGAGGATCTCAACAGGAAAGTCGACAATATACTACCAGCCGTTGAAGAACTCTCTGCCATCCGTGCACTTCCTATGGAAACAAGGAGTCTTACTTTTTCCGCGATACCCCGGGACGCACCCTTCAAATCTAACGCGATAACGGCCGCGGAGACACTTAAATCTTCAAAATACAAGGCCTACGGTGATATTGAAAGAATAGCTACACTCAAGGCGGATGTACAAAGACATAGGGATCAATTCTGGCAACAACGACGTCTCGCCTATCTCCCTCCAGAAACCAAAAAAGACGAAGAAGACTTGACGTTGTCTCTCGGCAGCAAATGTCCGTTCCTTTGGAGTCTTCAGTTCATGTACAAACTCATGCTTTTGACCGTCCTTTGGGCTGGGATGTTCAGGCGCGGAGAAATTCAATCCAGTGTAGACGACGGGTGGAGGCGATCCACCGTCTTCGGAACTAGATTGGATCGAAAAGGGAGGACCCAGGCGGATATCGATAATATTGACCGTGAAGTTATGGAAGACCGGGAGTTGGAATGGACCATGAAGCCCTCCATGATTAGTGCACAATCCTTTG